CGTACCCCTTTCCTACGTGAAAGTTAACCGTACTTACGTAGTACCAACGGAGTTACCTACGACCAAACAACGAGAATACCTCCAAACTAGTAGAAAGAAAGAAGGCGAGGTCGTCTCTCTCTCTCTCTCTCTCTCTCTCTCTCTCTCTCTCAAGGGATAGAATACATACGTGTTGCGTGTTGTGTGTGCGTGCATGTGTACACACATTAAAACTAAAGCTTGATAAATGAGAAGATAAGCTGTACTAAAACAATTGAGGGAAACGTAGGTATAATGCCAAGCAAAAACAAACACCAAGAAACAACCATAATGAGCATAACACAATTTTGAGGTACGAATACCTTGCTAAATACCACATCCCATGGATATATGAAAGACATACCTCTAGCTCGAATGGCATTGATTGCCCTCCACTAGAGTTCTTCGGATTTAACCGAGGCAACAACGATTCTAGAAAAGCTTTTCCACCTTTACTACAGAAGTTCAATGAAAGAAAAAGTCAGTACCAGTAAAAGGCCCCAGATAACACAAGCAGAATTACAATCGAAGAAGCCGTGGTGTTACCGATTATGATCAAAAACAAGGACACGCTCAGGCATGGCAATTGCACGTAAGGAACCGAGATTTAATAAAATTGCTTGTTCACGAACCTGTATCGACAAAACCGTTGCATTAGCAAGAGCAACCAAATATCAGAAGGTATCAATTCATAATAAAGCACCCAGGACATTCCATTGAACTATTGAACCTTTAATAATTATTTCAGCAACAAGAACCATCATACATCATTGAGGCTAAGAACTAAATGCAGCATAGCTATGCTTCTAATCTAAAAATGTGAATCCCGTGTGAGGGTGAAACATAATGCAAAGCAGAATTATACAAAATTTCTTTTGGTCAAAATCATGCAGCAATACAGGCTAGGGTAAAGCTTACATTGTGGAGATTTTCTTTTTTTGTTCAATAGGTTTATAAAATGAGAACTTATACAGAAAGGAGCACATCACTTTTTGTTTTGGTATGTACCGGCTTATAAGCTATGAAAAGGAGAAGCACCCTCTAAGTTCTCCTTGCTTATATGGGGTTCACTAAGATGATGCTTTTTCACTCTTTAAATTGCATTGGAGGCAGCTTCTACCTGGAAGTTATTGCATGGATTCCAGTAGTAACTAACCACTATCTTCAAATTCTGAACTGCTCTTCAAATTCCGAACTGCCTAAATAAAAAGTATTATCTGACAATCCAAGTTTAAATTCCTCTCGGTTTATTTTATAATAATCACAAATATACCCACAAAGAAAAGGTCATGATATTGAAATAAATCTAAACTTGATGTCCATGATGATGAATGAAACTTCTTAGACTAAGAAAACCATAATTCTCTTAGACAGAAAAGGACAAAGCATTCATACCAGCAAAGATGGCATTGAATTCGTCAACCATAGGGATGGATCAACACTTCTAATATCACGGAGCCTCAGGCCTGAAACCAGGGATATTCAATATGGAGATAGTAAATCAAATATATATAAATAAAAGAATATTGATAAAGATCAAGCTCTAGATTTTACAATTGCTCGTCAATCAATTGGACAAGATATAAAGGGAGTCTATTCATTTATATAGATATGCATAATATTTATATGGATGTTCTCAGGTTAATAAGACAGTCCTTCTTTCCATCACTTGCAAGTCCTTGTGTGACTGAAAAATACAAATTCTGACAAAAAAAAAGGACTTGTTTCTTCTTGTATTTTGAAATTTGAATAAATTGGTAGGCGTGGAATGACTCCCACGTTTTTCCACCAAAAACTTTATAACTTGACATTACAAGGAATGAGCCCTATAGTTACAATATCAAGAAATACCACATTCAAGCAGGAATGGAAAAAAAAAAACGGAGACATCTTCCTCAAATGCTGAAATCACCCTTCTTAGCAAGACATCAAATACCCTATTTATCTGTAAGGAAAACACCTGTTTACAAAATTAGTAAGTTTACAAGGTGCCAACCACTTGATTTTAACAATTGCCGCCTGTTAATATTCTTTTTCGACATCTTCCCATTTGACTTCACTTCTATCACCTGTTAAACACAATATCAAGAAAACAACACCCATATCGTTTAATATAAGAGTCCTATAGAAGTAGCATATCAATTACAAACATAGCAGTGACACAAAAACTCATCAATTAATATCAACATGAACCAAGAATGAGAACCTACACCAAACCAACATACCCATTTCATAGGGACACTTGCGAGAATAGGGTTTAAACAGGAACATGAGGTCAATCTAAAATCCCTATTATGAACTGCATGTAAGTTAATTTAACAAGTTCTGATTACTGGCAACATTAATTGGACAAAAATTGATACCATCCTTCTTAAGCAGATAGGCATGGGATCCAAACCCAAAACCAAGTCCCATGGGGAGGAGCTCCAAATAGGCTACAAGCAGTCAAATTTCAAACCAACAACCAGTTGATATACTTAGGGCACTTTAAGTGATTGTTGCACATTCTTCCAAAGGTATAGCCGTATTATACCACGAAAAGAGCCCGGGCTTAATTGGTTAGCTTTTGACGAATTGCAAGCCTACGTCCTAGGCTCAGTTCTCCCCACTGACTCACCCGAAAAAAAAAAAAGCCGTATTATACTAATCACAAAAGAAATTATTGCATATGGTATACAGATACCATACTATAGAGAAATAAATGATTCGATATGTTCTATGAGCTTTAAGAACATTAGCCGGGTGTTAGATTAAAAAAGACATGAAAAAATAATTGGTTGTCATCCCACTAAATCATAATATAAAAATTCTCGCCCAATCTCAAACCAATCCACATGGAATCAGTTAAAAAAAAAAAAATTCCTTCTCTATGTCAAGGGCATAAGGAGGCCTACCTCCCCCTAAGATTGATTTCATGAATAGGCAACTAAGATATGAAAATAAATGAAGATGGAACAGGAATGAACTAGTTAAGATATACCTAATTCGTAAGAGCAGATATGGGACCAAAAAGAACTAGCAAGTGAGTTGAGCATCAATCATCATCATACAAGCATTTTAACAGAAGTTTCTGTAATTGCATTCCTCTGACTATTAAAGTCTAATCAACCCAACAGATTAAGCAATTCAAAGAGAAAAATCGATGTGGGTTTGTCAACAAAAAACAGGAAATAACCAGAGAAAAGACAATCAAATCGAAAAGCGCTAAACGGGAAACAGCTTCCTGTTTCACAAGAAATAAAATGGAACAAAAATTAATTGTGGGTACCTCATAAACAGGCTCTTTAATCCCAAGAGAGATCAAATCAGGGCCTCTACTGTTGAATGAGACGCTACCATGTGCGCCATCAATGCTCCCCCTCGCATCTCTGACATCAGAAGACTCGCTCTCTCCCCTCTCCTCCCATTCTTGTTCCCCAGTTTTCTCAACCCTCTTCTCATTCGCCAATTCACCAAGCTTTCCCTCACTAGCTTGGGTCACACAACTGCTCAAAACCAGTGCCTTTCTCGCAGATAAAAGATGGGGCAGAGCAAAATACACCCTATGAACTAAATTGGAGGTCAAGAGAGAGGAAGGATCAGGTGCTGGGGTTGGAGAGAAGGAGATCAAAGAAGCCATCCCTAACTTTCAGGCATGGACATAGATGGGCTAAAAATCCTTGCTTGAATGTAAGCAAAGCAATGGCTTCTGTTGAACCTGGTACTTTTCAAAAAGCCATGAAGAAAAATCTGCTTTCTTGTGAAATGCCAGCCTCAAATATCATTTTAGTAAAAGTGGTGACTGTTATCCTATCACAGTGGACAAAGGCACGTAAAGGTCCAAGGGAAATTCTAGAGAGCGGTTACATTTCCCTTCTAACTAAGATCTTCCTGAAACTAATAAAAAACAAAACCCAAATTGTTAAGAGAGAGGAAAGGCCGGACCTTGTGGACAATTCATCTGGAGTATACTGTCCATTTATTCCCCTGGGTAAAACTCCATCTAGCATTAATTGTTGGACTTTAAATTTTGGAGTTATAACCTCTTAAACCCATAGATTATCGTAGTAAATAATTTTTTCTAATTTCACCTGCAGTGCACTTTGAAAAAATAATATCTCAAAATTGAATAGAGACTTTCAAATTTTTAGAACGTTAGATCTAATTATTGTTGGATATGGAGATATCAAAATGTCACTCACTTTTAAATAAATTCCATATTATGTGGGATTGATATTGATATTGATAAGTTTTTTATTAGAAACAGTAATCCAAAGAGATTAGGACTCTAAGATATATCTCTTGGTTCTTGATATATATATATATATATATATATATAAAAGAATAACAATATTATGAAGACAGCGGAATTAATGTAATATCTAAGATAATCCACGAAATATGAGTTGAATTCCTAATTTTAATACTGAATACTAATTTTGAATTGCATGAATAATAAACAGGACAATCGATCATATAAGTATAACAACGATTGCTTACTGTATAACAACGATTATACAATAACAACTTACTAGTTACAAATACAATAATTGGAGAAGATACTCCATTCAGAAAGACAGTAAGAGGGAAGAGAAGGAGTATTATATATATATATATATATATATATATATATATATGAAGTTTCTTATTTAATGTGACTCCTAACCTTAGGTAAATGTGGGATGAAAGATGAAAGACTTGTGTGCCCTATTTGGGTCATTATATGGGAAATGTGGCTTCCTCTAAAGAAACTGCCAAAGCCTCCTTTGCAACAGAGACAAGGCCTCCCGGCAAAGCCTCCTCTGCAACAGAGACAAGGCCTCCCCGTAGAAAAGAGAGCTTACTATGAAGCATGAAGGTTTTGAGTAGTTTTTCTTTTTAGTGAAAGAAATTCTTGGTTGCTCTCAAGGGTCTCTTCTTAGACAATAATTTACTTGTGGTAGTGCCGGTCAGGAGAGCGGGTTTAAAAGAGTTTATTCGATTGGGTTTTGCTAAAGGTTAGAAAGGAAATCTATGATGCAATTTTCATTTATCTAGTGGATTTCAATTTGTCATGCCCCTAAAGGTGAACCGCATAAATCTTTGTACTTTTGTGGTGTATGTTTCATACTGTATTTATCACATTATGGCTCGTGCTCTCTCTTATTTTGTTCTAGCTAGATAAGTACATAATCTTAGAGAGATAAAACTTTTGGGATTCATGTTTCTGCTACATAATCTTAGTGGGGTTCATGTTTCCGCATCTAAGAGGGTTCTTAAATCCTAACAAGTGGCATCAGAGCATATGGTTCAAGACAAGGCTAGTGTTTGTTCGTTTGATTGAAGAAAAACATATGGCAAAGTATTCAAACATTTTATTTGAGGTAGATAAATATGATAGCAAGCATAATCTTTCCAGCAATAATGGCAAAATAATTTATTTGACAAAAGATGATGAATTTATAAAGCTATCCATTAGATATTGGCATAGTGAGCAGGCGATTTTGATATCAAGTTGGATATTTGTTGGATATGGTGATATCAAAAAATCACTCACATAAAATTCTATATTGTATGGGATTGAGATTGATATTGACTAGTTTCTTAATGGAAATAAAAATA